GATTATAGCATCAGATCTAAATCTTAACCTCCAAATTCAACTGTGCAATAAATATTCATTTTTTATTTTCTCAAAAAGCAAATTCTACTCCTATCCTCTACTCCCATCCTTCTGAGCTGCAGGGAAATTCGATCTCCATCCTTACTGAAGCCACTCCATGACAAGAAACAAGGAGGGAAGACAGGGACTTCCCCTGGCACTGGACCACGTGAGGCCTCTGACCATAGTGCCCAAGCCCTCAATAGCCCCTGAAGTCCAGCAGTCCCTGCAAGCCAAGCCAAGCGAGGGGCCTAGAAGTCTCGCTAGAGGCTGGAATCACCAGGCCTGAATCCAGCCTCTCCAAGCACACCACCTGGCCATCCGCATGGTCTAGCCACCTCTTGGGGTAGGAGAGCTCCCTGATCCTGGACTCCACCAACTTTCATGGCCTCTGACACCTCCTTTCTGTCCTTCTGTTCCTGCCCTCAAAAGCAATGAGCACCAAGCATTTGCAAACTCCAAGTCTCCAGGGGCCAAGCAGGTAGCAACAGAAAAAAGTATGAGACTTAGTGACATGCCTTGCCTAAAAAGGCCAGCATAGGCCAGGTATAATAGCTCACATCTATAATCACAGGGCTTTGGAGCAGGAAGATGATATTATCTCTACACACAGAAAGTGTTTTTTTTTTCCCAATAAAAAAAGGTCAGCACAACTTAGCTTACCAAACTTATCAGGTAACGTAGCCTAGTGGTTAGGGGGCTGCATTCTAGAGCTATGCTGCCCAGGTTCAAATTCTGGTGCCACTCTTTGCTGTCTGTGAGTCCTTAGGCAAGTCACTTAACCTCTCTGTACCTGTTTCCTAAACTATGAAAAAGAATACTTGTGGCCGGGCACAATGGCTCACGCCTGTAATCCCAGCACTTTGGGAGGCCAAGGCGGGCAGATCACAAGGTCAGGAGATCAAGACCATCCTGGCTAACACAGTGAAATCCCATCTCTACTGAAAATACAAAAATATTAACCGGGTGTGGTGGCGTGTGCCTGTAGTCCCAGCTGCTGGGGAGGCTGAGGCAGGAGAATGACGTGAACCCAGGAGGCGGAGCTTGCAGTGAGCCAAGATCGTGCCACTCTGCACTCCAGCCTGGATGACAGAGCAAGATTTCGTCTCAAAAAAAAAAAAAAAAAAATTAGCCAGGCATGGTGGCACATGCCTGTAATCCCAGCTACTCTGGAGGCTGAAGCAGGAGAATCGCTTGAACCCAGGAGGCAGAAGTTCCAGTGACCCGAGATCACGCCACTGCACTCCAGCCTGGGTGACAGAGTGAGACTCCATACCCCCCAAAAAAAACAAAACTTGTACCGGTAGGTACGGCAGCTTCACATGAGAAAGCACTTAGGACAGTGACTGACATTAGTAGTTACTCAGTAAACATTAGCACCCATCACAGGAAAATACAGGGCCAAGACTGCCAGACCTACTAAATGTTCAAAAGAAGGCAACTATCCACATTTTTATTCTGAAACTGCTCCATTTTTTAACCGTGGTAACTAAGTAAACCCAGATTTTTGTTTTTGTTTTGCTTTGTTTTGTTTTTTAGAGACGATATCTCATTCTGTTGCACAGGCTGGAATTTAGTGGCATGATCATAGTTCACCACAGCCTCAAACTCCCAGGTTCAAGTGATGCTCCCGCCTCAGTCTCCTGAGTAGCTGGTAATGCAGGTACATGCCGCCAAGCCTGGCTTTTTTTTTTTTTTTTTTTTTAATGTTTTGTAGAGAAACAAGGTCTTGCTGCGTTGCCCAGGCTGGTCTCAAACTCCTGGGTTCAAGCGATTCTCTCACTTCAGCCTCCCAAGTAGCAGGAACTATAGACACACACCACCATGCCCAACTAAAGCCAGTTTTTAAACCTTGGCAAAAGTCATACAAAACACATCCGTGAGCAGGACTGGGCCCATAAAACTGACGATTTATGGTATCTGCTCCACAATGTTTAAGCTTATAGAAAGCGGAGTCCAGAAAGAAAAGAGTCTTGGAAGCAGCTTTTGCTTTGGGCCCTAGAACCAAAGCTCCCCTAGGCAAGAGAGCACAGAAAGGGGAGGGACAAACAGAGAGAGAAAGATGCAAAGTATTAATAATACATCCAGTCACCCTGGCACGTAAATGCTATGTGCTGCAAGGGTTTGTTTGTCTTTTAAGTAACTCAGATAGAGACAGAAAAGTGGTCA